GCTACACAAGAATAAAATACCGAGGAATACAACTAACAAAGGATGTAAATGACCTCTTCAATGAGAACTACAAACCACTGCTCAAGGAAATAACAGAGGACACAAACAGATGGAGAAATATTCCATGCTCATGGTTAGGAAGAATCAATATCGTGAAAATGGCCATACTGCCCAAAGTAATTTACAGATTTAATGCTATCTCCATCAAGCTACCAATGACCTCCTTCACAGAACTGGAAAAAAATGCCTTAAACTTCATATGGAACCAAAAGAGAGCCCACATAGCCAAGTCAATTCTAAGCAAAAAGAACAAAGCTGGAGGCATCACGCTACATTACTTCAAACTCTACAACAAGGCTACAGTAATCAAAACAGCATGGTACTGGTATCAAACCAATGGAACAGAACAGAGGCCTCAGAGGCAATGCCACACATCTACAAACCTGACAAAAACAAGCAACGGGGAAAGGATTCCCTGTTTAATAAATGGTGTTGGGAAAACTGGCTAGCCATGTGCAGAAAGCAGAAACTGGACCCCTTCCTGACACCTTACATTAAAATTAACTCCAGATGGATTAAAGACTGAAACATAAGGCCTAACACCATAAAAACCTTAGAAGAAAATCTAGGCAAAACCATCCAGGACATAGGCATAGGCAAGGACTTCATGAGTAAAACACCAAAAGCATTGGCAACAAAAACCAAAATAGACAAATGGGATCTAATTAAACTCCAGAGCTTCTGCACAGCAAAAGAAACAATCATTAGAGTGAACTGGCAACCAACAGAACGGGAAAAAGTTTTTGCAATCTACCCATCTGACAAAGGACTTATATCCAAAATCTACAAAGAACTAAAACAGATTTACAAGAGAAACAAACACTCGTGCAGAACGTGCAGGATTGTTGCATAGGTACATACATGGCAATGTGGTTTACTGCCTCCATCCCCATCACCTATATCTGGCATTTCTCCCATGTTATCCCTCCCCAACTCCCTACCCCCCACTGTTCCTCCCCTAGTCCCCCACCACAGACTTCAGTGTGTGATGCTCCCCTCCCTGTGTCCATGTGTTCTCATTGTTCAACATCCGCCTATGAGTGAGAACATGTGGTGTTTGATTTTCTGTTCCTGTGTCAGTTTGCTGAGAATGATGGTTTCTAGATTCATCCATGTCCCTACAAAGGACACAAACTCATCGTTTTTTATGGCTGCATAATATTCCATGGTGTATATATGACACATTTTCCTTGTCCAGTCTATCATCGATGGGCATTTGGGTTGGTTCCAAGTCTTTGCTATCGTAAACAGAGCTGCAATGAGCATATGTGTGCATGTGTCCTTATAATAAGACAATTTACAATCCTTTGGATATATACTCAGTAACAGGATTGCTGGGTCAAGTGGGATTTCTATTTCTAGGTCCTTGAGGAATCGCCACACTGTCTTCCACAATGGTTGAACTAATTTACACTCCCATCAACAGTGTAAAAGTGTTCCTATTTCTCCACATCCTTTCCAGCATCTGTTGTCTCCTGATTTTTTAATGATCCCCATTCTAACTGGCATGAGATGGTATCTCAATGTAGTTTTGATTTGCATTTCTCTAATGACCAGTGATGATGAGCATTTTTTCATGTTTGTTGACTTATATGTCTTCTTTTGAAAAGTGTCTGTTCATATCCTTTGCCCACTTTTGAATGGGTTTGTTTTTCTCTTTTAAATCTGTTTTAGTTCTTTGTAGGAAGCATATATTTATAAGCCACTAGACATTCAACCTCATTGACAGTACCTGAAAGGCTGGGACACTGCTCTTGGGTGTCCTTTCGTATCATCCAACCTGTGGAAATCAAAGACAGATGCTCATATATCACCAGGCTCACATGTTTTCACAAAGACCATAAGGCACATCAAATGGTATCAAACCAGTAAAAATATTAAGTTAGCAAATGGGAGAAAGCTTGCAAATGGATATTAGATTACCAAGCACCAGGCTTTCATCCTTTTATCTCAGCATCCTGCAGAAAATGATAACCTCATCGTTGAGCAACATGAACCTTTTTTTCTTAGATCAGGAACTCTGTACATAGCTATAATTCTCTCAGATTACACGTGAAAACTAAATTTCCTGTGAATCTATTTGGTGTTTATCATACTGGCAAAACAGCCTTCTGCTATATGTGTCTCTTATTTATAAATCAAAGAAAAAAAAAAGTTGCTGCTTCCCATTATATTATTTTGTGGACTGAGGCCTTGCCACCCAGTATATTGTAATTTTAAAAATTGATGATATTTACAAATGTTTGCACCTTTTGATTCCAAAACCTTTTTTAACCCAATCTGAACTATCAGAGGGTTTCAAATGTTGTGATCGGAATTCAAGTCCCATCATTGATGCTGGTGAGTAGTTTGAGACTTCAAAGTCAAGATGGTTTATAACTTTACAGGCACAGGTTAAGAATTGCTCATTCAATTTTCAAAACTAGAAGCTAAAGCTGCAGAATTAGTTTAGATTGCCAAAGACTGGCATATAATACTTTTCTACAATCTATGATTCAATACAAAAGCCTCAGTATACCTGTGAGGATCCAACACAGGGCAAGAAACTCACTCACAGGAGAAGGGGAGAAATCCAAACAGAATTTGAGACAGAGACCTAGAGATAACGGCTTTGTAGCTTAAGGTAGAATTCCAGAGACTGAGATGCAGCAGTTGCTTTCAATAACCTTCTAAATTTTAGCTACTCCCAACAGTGATAAAATAATTAATAAACAGCACAAAATAGTAAACTTGGTATTTGTAGAACAATATTCAAAAGGGAAGATTACAGATTGAAGAGAAGATTAAATGTTCTACTCACAAAGAGAAGCACACTATGAATTGAACTGTTTAAAACAGATCTACCTAAATGCACAGGCTGGTGAGGTACGTGGCTGTCTCTGACTTTTTAAGGCACGTAGTTTGTCTCCCTGGGTTATACCATTTTTCATTTCCACATCTTCATCGTCTTCTAAGTTATTCTGGAAAAAAAATGCACGTACCATAGAAAGGTCCAAATTTGGCTTTATTTAGGTTTCTTAATAGATTACATATATAGATACATTTAATACAGGTTATCTTAACATAGATTAAGTAGCTATAGCTACTGTGAATCAGCATTGTCAAAGCTTACATAAAAGAACTCTCGACTATCTGCCAGTTCAACAGGCAACAGGTCAAATTCCAAATCAAAGAAGCATGGGTATAGATGTGGTAGAATATAAAAGGAGCTGTTTGTTACAATGGACCACAACAGAGGAGACTCTCTCCTGCAGACACAATCATGCATTGGAATATAGCCACATACAGAAAGCCCACAGATGAGGTACAAGTATGTTTTTAGATACCTCCAGGAGCCATCAGTGCAAATTCCATAACTTGTTTACAAAAATACAAGATAAAAATACTTTAGGATATCTATACAGTAAGTTATTAACACAGTAATCATTTAACACTAGTAAATGCATGCAAGTCCTTTTCAGAGGATTTAAAGGACTGTGTTCACTAGATGTTTCCTTCTGAAATAAGTCTTTATAGTTTGAAAAATATAAGTACCGTGCTAGTATCTTAACACGCCAGTCTTTACAATACCCCGATGCAGGGGGAGGCACTGGTACCTTAATTTATCGATGAAAAAAGGGCGTACTCACAGAAGTTAGGAATATTGCCCAAGCTCCCATAAAGTCTTAATAACCTAATATGATTTCAAAATTAGATTTCTTGTCCTCAGATGCAATGTTCTTTCTAAAATATAAGCCACAGCACACCGTCATTGTACCAGTGAAGCATGTATTTTGCCTCTTTTCCTCAACTGAAAAATCAAAGTGCTTGGATTTGCTAAAATCTCTACCAGCCATAATAGTCCCTACCCCTATTTAAAACTATAATTCTTGTTTGATGAAAAATTTACTTCCACAGTCATATTTGAGTCACAATACCTCCTCACTCCCTGCCACCTACGTTGGGTTCCACAGGTAACTCTGGGACTCAGTAGGCATGTCCTGAGTAAAAAGACCGAATCTCACTACCACATCTCTGAGTTTAAAAAAGAAATAAAGAGCTGGGCATGGTGGCTCATGCCTGTAATCCCAGCGCTTTGGGAGGCCAAGGTGGGTGGAACACCTAAGGTCGGGAGTTCAAGACCAGCCTGACCAACATGGAGAAACCCCATCTCTACTAAAAATACAAAATTAGCTGGGTGTGGTGGCACATGCCTGTAATCCCATCTACTCAGGAGGCTGAGACAGGAGAATCGCTTGAACCCAGGAGGTGGAGGTTGTGGTGAGCCGAGATCATGCCATTGCACTCCAGCCTGGGCAACAAGAATGAAACTCCGTCTCAAAAAAATGAAAGAAGGAAAGAAATGCAAAGCACAGGGCCAGTGGGAAGAAAGAATAAGGACAAAACTTCCAAGAGGCAATCTTTTAAAGAATGGGTACAAGTGCTGCAGCTCCAGATCCCAGAACAGGTCATCTGGCCCAGGAAGAATACCAGCTCAACAGTTACAGGATCATGGAGTCTTCATGACAGAGGATTCTCTTAGAGTCTCAAGTTGCACTTCTAAAAAATCTCCAGGAATCAGTTTTACCATTCAATTCCATCATACAATCCCAATGGGAGAGGAACACATTACCATCCAAGAAAGTCTGTAGGAATAGAAATCAGGAAGGTCTGACGGCTAGGCATGCTAGTGGGATGGTGCACTTGAGAAGGTGAGCTTAGCTTCACCTGGCTGCAGTAAGTACTCAACAGGTTGGGATGTTACCAGTTACTTAGCACATAGCCAGAGTTTCCTGAACATGAGGTGAGGACAAAAAGCATGTAGACTCTCATGAGACTGGCCAAACGCTTCTAGGAGGACCTGACGGGATCCTTACCACCACCAGTTTCACTGTCACTGGGTGCTTTGGTAGGATTTTGAAAACCAGGAAAGCTTATTTGTTCCTCCAACTAGGAGGATCTTTATGTTTCCCACCAGAAACACCTTCAAAATACTTAAAAAAAAAAAATTCTCAACCTGTAATTCAAAAATGCAACCTCTCAGGTAAGTATACAGGTAAAACAGATACAAAAATTTACCTCCCATACAATATTTCTGAGAAAACTATTACAGGATATGCTCTTTAAACAAAAAGGAAAGATAACATGAGATCCAATAAAATTGGGAATCTAACTGAAGAATATGAAGAAGGGTTATAGAATCAAACTATATAGTTCTGATCCTAAGACTAAACACACACACACACACACACACACACACACACACACACAGCACAGAGCACAGGGCTAAGAACAACCAGGCCATGTTAGAAGAGAGAATTGTCTTCAGGAAAAAAAAAATGGAATTAGAATGGAATTTTGCTGTGTTGAGATTTTGAAAAAATTTAAAATTGTTTGGCATAACTTTTTAAAGCATTATTGTTTCCTAAATGCATAAAAACTATGCAAATAAAAAAGGCAATTACGTCTAGGACAAACAAAGACAGCATCAAAAAAGAAAACAGTCACAGTGTACTACTGACCTCAACCATGAACAATATTTACATAGTACTGATGTGCACATTATTTGATTTAACCAGTATAGTTATATTGGGAAGCTAAGGGAAGTGGTGGTGACAGTGAGATAGAAGAGTTGCATCCTGTCTACAAGTACCAGGAAGCAACAGAAAAATGTCCCAAGTCGATCAATTAAAAAACAGCAATGTAAGCAAGGTATTTATAATAGAAATATGGCACTAAAAATATCAGTATAATTTTCCCAGAGATTTCTGCCTTTGAAAGTGGGTCCAGGGACACAGAAAGGTGAAACAGGAGGCTGATTTTTTTTTGTTGCTAGAATTCAACACTTGATATTTTTAAAGCTGTGATCATATATTGCTTGAAAAGAAAGCATTTTAAAGATGTACAGTTAAACAGAAAATTAAATAACAGTATATAATAAATTATAATTACATGTATTTTTCTCTCATTCTATTGTGAATCTTAAAGGTCATATATTTCTGTAAATTATGATTCATTTATCAGAAAACAACAAAAATACTACAGTACACAGCCATGCACCTAACTACCTAGATTTTTACTTCCTCCTCTCAAGTTTACTTAAACATCCTCACTCACCAAGAAAAAGAAAACAACACCTGAAGTCCTAGTTCTCAACCTCTGGAGAATAATCCATTTTTTTTCTTTTTTCTTTTTTTAATCATTCAGAAAACGCTTGCATTTTTGTCAAACAGTGCATTTATGTAACAGAAGATACAACAAAATTTAGAAATAAAAAATATCATACTATATTTTAAGTATCAAAATAAGAAGAAATTTGCAAATTAAGAAATTATCAAAGTTGCTCAGAAACATACCTTACTTTTATTCTAAAATTCACTTTAACTGCTTGACATATAATTTAATATTTAAAAATAACATAGGTAAGTTGTTTAATTGTACTTATAGAATGTTACTTTTCTGGGTAGACATGTTTCACATATACTTTTCAATTAATGCTGAGAATTCCTTTGATAATTTTAATCATAGTATGATTCGCTGATTAATGGATTAATAATTTATTCAGTAATTTAGATGGCATAGGAACCACTGAAAGGAATAATCTGATAGTTGCTCATTGTACAATCCCGCCTGTTAATAATACCAAGCCAAGAATCTAAGCGCTATCCCACTCTGTTGAATTACATGTTTCCATGTGCGTGACTGCTCAACAACAAAAAAACCGATACACAATGCCATGCTTTTTCCTTTTCCCTTTTTTTCTTTTTTAACAAGCAGCTCAATGATTTGGGAGGTTGGTTAGTACAATAGAGAGAACATAGGGAGAAAGTATAAAATGGCACTTAACACCAATGCCAATACTTATTATGGTTATAACTAAGGATATTATTAATATTTGTGTTACTTTTCTTTCTTTAGAACATACATGAAAGCCATTAACTTGAACTGGAGATATATACACAATACACACACAACGTTAAGCAAAATACTTTTCAGAAGTAACATTACATTTGAAAATACTGGAAACTAAATATCTGTGCTGATTTGTATTTTGACTTAATGGAACAAGAAGAAAACAACATTCAACTAGGGAGGGTTACACTGATAACAAAGCTCTTAAAATTCAAAATATCTTCCTCTCCCTTTGTACTTACCACAGGCTACACAATGTCCTGAGAGGATTCATTATGAGAAAAATGTCAATCACAGCTTTAATAACTTACTTTGGAAAAAACTAATGAGAAAGCAAATTGGAAGGTGAGACTTCATCTTTGTTTTCAAATAAGTGGTCTTAATTTTTCTTCTTACAGAAAAAGTTTAAATCAGTTTATTATAAATACATTGAAACCATTCATTTTTGCAGCTGACAGGTCAAGTCCAGCACTTCATTTATACAGAGTCTATGAGAGGTCAGTAGAGATAATCTAGTCTTAAGTTATGACATCATCCATTCAAGTGCTTGGCACAATCCCTCTCCAGTTAGAGCACAGAATGCCCGGATATGCCACTGATGATCTTTAATAGAAGTTAGCTTCAAAAACTGGGACATTTCTGCTACTGTCATGCATTCTTTAACACCTTGGTTATTAGCAAAAATCAACAATCCAGCTTTTCTTAGGTCCTCATGTGCTAACATTTTATAAGTTCTTCCCTAGTTACAGAAATCCTCTCTCTGTCTCTACTGTTCACAACGACTATTACAAACTCTGTGTTAGTATAATAAGTGTTCCAGGAAGAAGGAAGAGATGCTTGCTACCAGTATCCCACATTAGGAAATGTGTATTATTAATCACTATCTCTTCTACATTAATTACTTCCTGTTGTAGGAAATATAGGTACAACTTCATTCATGGAAAACTGGCAAAGGATGGTAGTTTTCCCTGCATTATCCCACCCAGCAATGCTAACTCTGTGCTCCTGGTGACTGAACAGTTTCCAAATTCTGGTGAAGAGAATTCTCATTCTCCAGCTGCAGATCCCCCTCCAGACATTCAGGCTGCCTGGCCTCCCCTGGCTCAGGCTGAGTGGGAAGAGAGAGAGTGCTGGAGCTTTCACCTCTGCTGCTCCCACTGCCGCTGTGGTGTCTGCCCCTAGCCTTTTGGGCCACGGTCCTCCCCCAGCTCCTCTCGGGTGGCTGCGATGGCAATGACCACACGGGTGAAGGTGTTTTTTCTTCTTATTATTATTTTTTAAAGTATATGGCTAGGCACGGTGGCTCACGCCTGTAATCCCAGCACTTTGGAAGGCCAAGGCAGGTGGATCACATGAGGCCAGGAGTTCAAGACCAGCCTGGCCAACATGGTGAAACCCCATCTACTAAAAATACAAAAATTAGCCAGAGTGGTGGCGTATGCCTGTAGTCCCAGCAACTTGGGAGACTGAGGCACTGAGAATCATTTGAACCCAGGAGGCAGAGGTTGCAATAAGCTGAGATCACACCACTGCACTCCAGCCTGGGCAATGGAGACTATCTCAAAAAAAAAAAAGTACGTATATCTAGAGAAATACAGATATATTTATGAAATATTTTTATGTATTTATATATATATGCATTTACCATATATATGTAGATATGTTTATATCTTTGTCATTAGTAATAAAGTATAGGCAAACATGAAAAAATATTAAAACCACCTATATATTTACCATCAAAAGCAAAACACATTCACATTCTGGCACATAGTCTTCCAGAATTTTCCCTGTGCTATATAAAACCCCCAGCCTACTTCTTCCTTACAAAAAGAGCTTGTATTACATACATACGCTGATTTGTAACTTTTTTAACTTAAAAAACATTGTGGAAGTTTTTCAGAACAAGTTTTTTACAATCTCTGTCATTTTATGGCTCCATAAAATTCCATTGTCTAGATATGCCTAATTTTATTATTTAACCAATACCCTAGGTTAGGCTGTTCTCTGTATTTCATCACTATAAACAGCCTCAACAAACATACTCTTACACATACATGGTTCATGAACACTGTCTTATTATTACCTTAAGACAAATTCATAGAAGTGGAATTCCTTTTAAAGTCATCTACATATTACCAGATTGCCCTCCAAAAAGGCTGCACCATTGTAAATCCAACTGGCAATGTTTAAGAGCTTTTTATTCCCTAAACATTTGTCAATGCTGAATATATTTTTAATGCATTTGATAGGCATAAATAGCATCTCATCATTTGAATTTGTGTTTAGTTCATTTCTAGGGAAGTAGAACATTTTCTAAGTTTACCAGTCAGGACTGTTCCCATATTGTTTTACTTGTGAACATGGTGTTTTGGTGATTTGTAAGAGTTCTTTATACCCACAAAACCCCCTCATTTGTAGATGTTGCATATATTTCCTCACATTATCACTGTGAGAATGAACTGGAGTTCAAGTCTTTGGGGAGGGACACATTTAAGTGGCTATGCAGTGGTCTGATGAGAGATGATGGACTGGATTAGGGTATGGGAAACTGCGTGGGAATCCAGACTCGGGGAAAGGGAAGAAGGGGAAAGAGCCAGAAATGTAGTACAGGTCTGGAAAAAAATCTACCAAAATGTAAACCATAAAATTTTTTGTCTAAACCAACTGTCTTTTGTCTCTGTGGCCACTGTACAAAGTATAGATCATTTTTAGGACTATGAGAGATAGAACATATAAACTGTAAAATTCTCAGTGATTAATAAATAGCCTTCAAACTCTTGACAAAAATAGTTAATGTTATTCAAAACATGTTTACACTAAATCACAGAATTAGGAAACTAAAAACCTATCTGGAAAAGGACTTTGGCCTCCTGGAATACTGAATAAGACAAACAGACATAAATACAACAAGCTTTACATTTATTAGGGAATTGATCCTATAAGATATACCAGGTCATAAGTACCTGTGGGGGGAAAATGTTTATTATCAATGCAGTACTATGTATTGTGTGACACAAATCAATCTCATGAGTTGGTGGCCTGGGAAGAGTTTGAAGACTTTTCTCATCAGGTGCTGTTAGGTCTCCTTCCTTATACCAAATTCATTCTTCATGATGACTAAAGAACACATTCACAAATGACAAATGAAGAGAACCCAACCTGGGCCTGCCCTCAGGCTCCAGTCCCTCCCTACAAAATGCCAGGGCAGACTCTCTCTTGCCCTAAGCTGGTCCAGGAAAAGCAGATTGCTTGGAATCTGCTGAAAAGAAACAAAACTTCATGGCTGATGCCAGCAACAATGAAGAACCCTACCTAGTCCAGGGAAGACCCTCCTATATGTGTCCCCCACAGCAAATGGATCTGCTCTGAGTGCCCCATTGCCCTTTGGAGGATCTAAGCAGCAACACTCCTTTTGGATACTGGACTGCCCTAAATGACAGCAAACCAAAATACTGTACCGAAAGCTGTACAATTTTAAAAAGAACGTAAGTGATGACCTAGTGAAAGAACAAATAACAACATGAAGAATATTTATTTTATTCCACCAGTTGTTCTCTCTATACACAATCGTGTCCATAGATTTCAGCTGGATAAAGTAATTGCTGACCAAAACATAAACAAAATCATGGCAGAGTAAGCTATAGAGGAGGCTGTGGAAAGTGCCAGTAAGAAAAGATTTATGAGATAGAATATAGCACACTAGGGAATAAAGATGGAAGAATCGTAATAGAAAAATGACATAAGTAGATAGTTTAAATAGAAATGAGTAAAAATAGAAGTCCAAGAACTGGAAGATAAAGTTGAGAATGGAATTTTTAGCAGATTTTAATAAATTGGCTAGGAAAGGTGGCTGGGTCATCTCTAAATTCTTTTCAGCTCTCAGATGTTGAACCTATGAGATTTAAGTGTTGGGAAATGGCAAAGATGTCATCTTTATAATAAGCTGCTTCTGATCAATAGAAAGTTTGGGTTTACCAGAGCTACCCACATCTCTCTTCTGGCTGCCCCATTCACTGCCACTCTTTGGGACCTTTAAAACCTGGACCTCCCCATTATCAGCTCCCTGGCCTTCAACCCCAGCCCCATATGACACCATAGCCAGAGAGACATCCCAGTACCCATTATCAGCTCCCTGGCCTTCAACCCCAGCCCCATATGACACCATAGCCAGAGAGGCGTCCCAGCACCATGATTCTGTGTGCTGTCACTCCCCTGCTTAATAACCTCTGGTGGATCCTAGTAGAATTCAGATTAGAACTGGTCTTCACCAGGCCGGGCGCCATGGCTTACGCCTATAATCCCAGCACTTTGGGAGGCCGAGGCGGGTGGATCACAAGGTGAAGAGATCGAGACCATCCTTGCCAACATGGTGAAACCCTGTCTCTACTAAAAATACAAAAGTTAGCTGGGCATGGTGGCGTGCACCTGTAGTGCCAGCTACTCAGGAGGCTGAGGCAGGAGAACTGCTGGAACCCAGGAGGCAGAGGTTGCAGTGAGCCGAGATGGTGCCACTGCACTCCAGCCTGGCGCCTGGCAACAGAGAGAGACTCTACCTCAAAAAAAAAAAAAAAGAACTGGTCTTCACTGTCAGAACAGGGGAAAGAAAGGTGCTTAAAACCAGGGCATTAGAGAATTAATTTTTACTTCATAAATTTTTCTAAGATGCACCCTGCTTGTGAGTACTTGATGGTTTTTACAAATCACAGTATCTCAAAAATGTAATTAAAACACTACGTTCTTGTCTGCTTGATTGTCAATTTACATGAACTTGGTGGCACATTAGCAGTACCTGTATCTAATTAATATCACTAAGTCAAGAACACCTACTGATTGGCGTGCTAATATTGGACGATAGCCCTAAAGTACAAAATCTAAAAACTGTTGTGATTTCAGGAGAAGTTTATTGGAGGGACCGGTTAATGTACTAAAGATTACTGTATATAATGTACTAAAGCCACGCTGGAGAGCTCCCATAGAGTTAGCAGAGTATAGTGAGAGGCCTCCCAGGAGGGTGGCTGAGTACACAGAGTCTGGAGCCAGAACACAGAAATTCAATGACCACTTCACCATGTACTCAGGATCTCAGGCATGGTTTGACCTCTACCTCAGGTATGTCTCCTGTAAATGGGCCTAGTAACATGGCCTATTTCATATGGCTGCTGTAAGGATTAAAAGGGTTAATTAATGTCAAGTGCCTAAAACAGTTCCTGGCACATAGTACCTTCTGTTTAGGTAGTTGTTGCATGCTAAGATCCTGATTTAATATTTGCACTTTAAATGAAGTACTTTAACTTCCATCTTTCAAAATAACTCCAATCCATAATGGACCCATAGGCCCCTGAATGTTAAAGTGAGAACTTACTGCTAATACTATTTTGTATTTGAGCACATAATGTATTTGTGTAGCTTAGATTATTACCAATTTCATGTCTCTGTCCTTTTTTTTCTCTGAAACTATAAACCTTCTTCATTCATTCACATAATATTTATTAAGGCCTTTGGCCAAAAATAGAAACATGATGAAGACAAATGAAAGTCTCTGCCTTCCTAGAGAGTATCACCTGGCCAGGAAGAAGAGATAAGGACTGTGGAAGAAAAGAACAGAGCAAGGCAGGAGCAGGGAGCAAGGAGCCTAAGCTAGACCCACAGGATGCGCTGTGTATATTTCATAGTGCCCAGCCCAGAACTGAAGTCCAGGGTCAATAAAGGGAAAGCATCTGTTCTATTTCTCATAACTCTAAGTTGGCAAAGAACATTCATTAAACACAACCTAGTCCATCACTATGACCTGCATCATTCTGATTGTTTTCCTTTCACCTACATCCTACGCACTAAAAAAAAATATTTATTTATTTATTTGAGACAGAGTCTTGCTCTGTTGCCCTAGCTAGAGTGCACTGGCATGATCTCAGCTCACTGCAACCTCCATAGCCTGGGTTCAAGTCATTCTCATGCCTCAGCCTCCTAAGCAGCTGGGACTACAGGCATGTGCCATCACATCTGGCTATTTTTTTTTCTTTTGTGTGTGTGTGTGTGTGTGTGTGTGTGTGTGTGTGTGTGTGTATTTTTAGTAGAGATGGGGTTTCATTATGTTGGCCAGGCTGATCTCAAACACCTGGCCTCAAGTGATCCATCCACCTCAGCCTACCAAAGTGCCGGGATTACAGTCAAAAGCCACCACACCGGGCCTAAAAAACTATATTCCAATTCTCCAAATCTGGCAACACACAGCTTCCTAGTAACTAATCACAAGAAAATTCCTGTAAGCCTAGAAAAGAAATAATTTAGACTCTCTGCTTTTAATCTTTTTTTTAAAGGAAATCTCTAGAGGAATACTGTCTTTTT